GTCTTACTCTGTTCCCCATGCTTGAGTGCATTGGCCCTCTCACTCACTATAACCTCAACCTCCTGGGCTCAAATGATCCTTCCACTACAGTCTTCCAAGTAGCTGGAATTACAGGCATGGGCCACCACACCTGGCTAATTTTTTGTATTTTTTTGTAGAGATGGGGTTTCACCACGTTGCCCAAGGTGGTCTCAAACTCTTAAGCTCAAGCAATCCTCCTGCAACAAGCTGAAGGATCAGCCACAGTCATTGGCAATGTACACTTCCAACTACCCAGAGCTTCTGGGCTTCCTAGCCATGGGGTCCAAAGCTGGGACTGCCTTGATGCCAGTGGAGGGTCCCAGAACAACAATTTGGATGACGTCAAATCGGCCCCCCAAAGTGTTGGGATAACAGGCATGAGCCACCATACCTCGCCTACACTATCCAGTGTAATGTAATGATTAAGAATTCAGGATCCAGGCCGGGTAAAGTGGCTAACACCTATAATCCCAGTACTTTGGGAGGCCAAGGCGAGCGGATCACAAGGTCAAGAGATGGAGACCATCCTGGCCAACAAAGTGAAATCCTGTCTCTATTAAAAATACAAAAATTAGCTAAGCATGGTGGTGTGCACCTGTAGTCCCAGCTACTCGGGAGGCTGAGGCAGGAGAATCACTTGAACCCGAGAGGTGGAGGTTGCAGTGAGCTGAGATCATGTCACTGCACTCCAGCCTGGGCGACAGAGTGAGACTCTGTCTCAAAAAATAAAAATAAAAAAATTCAGGATCCAGGCCCTGATAGTGGCTTGTGCCTGTAGTCTCAGCTACTCAGAAGGCTGAAAATGGAGAGATCACTTAGTGGTGGAGGTTGCGGTAAACCAAAATGATGCCACTGCATTCCAGCCTGGGTGACAGGGTGAGACCCTGTCTCAACAAAACCCCCCAAACACCAAGAACAAAAAAAAATGCAGGATCTGATGATAGATTGCATTAGAATTCTAGCCACTAAAGCCAACCACGGTGGCTCACGCCTGTAATCCCAGGACTTTGGGAGGCCGAGGCAGGCTGATTACCTGAGGTTGGGAGTTCAAGACCAGCCTGACTAACACGGAGAAACTCTGTCTCTACTAAAAATACAAAATTAGCCAGGCGTGGTGGTGCGTGCCTGTAATCCCAGCTACTCGGGAGGTTGAGGCAGGAGAAAAGCTTGAACCCAGGAGGTGGAGGTTGGGGTGAGCCGAGATAGTGCCGTTGCACTCCAGTCTAGGTAACAGGAGCTGTTACCCAGTTCTTTTTTTTTTTTTTTTCCTAAAAAAAAAAAAAAATGCCAGGCGTGGTGGCTCACACCTGTAATCCCAGCACTTTGGGAGGCCGAGGCAGGATCACCAGGTCAGGAGATCAAGAACATCCTGGTTAACATGGACCCCATCTCTAAAAAAAAAAAAAAAGAAAGAAAAGAAAAGAAAAAAAATAATTCTAGCCACTTAGAAGCTCTGTGATCTTTGGCAAATTGCTTATCTCTGCACCTCATTCTCCTCATCTGTAATATGGGGTAATAATAGGATCTACCTTAAACGGTTGTTGTGAAAACTAGTTTAGTACAAGTGCTTAGACAAAGTACTTGGCATTAAGCGAGAGTTGGATATATATTAGCCATCATTATTAACCACCTGGGGGAACTTCAACTGGATTTGGAGTCTAGGCATACAACTGGAATGCCTAGGAGTGTCTTGTGAATGTGATTTGCATAACAGTCTAGGCCCAGCTGACGTCAAGGGCTCCTTATAGCTCCAAGTCAGATGTAGCCCTGGAAGTAGTTCCTGCCACGCAACAGTCCCACAATCTCCCCACCAACCCTGCTTCCTACCCAACTTCTGCAGCACCAGGAAGTGAAACAGAGAGGACGAGCCCCGTGCCTCCAACTCACCCTTGTCCTTCTCATCCCATCCCCCCAGGCTCTACTTCCTCCTCCTTTTCATCTTTCTTTCATCTGTTATCTTTTAGAGCTCCCAGAATGGGGACCAGAGATGGGAAAGGCATAGGAGACATTGTACACAAGTAAGGTGAACTCCCTATCCTGCCCTCTTCCATTTACTTATTCTATTTGTGTCCACAAAAATTAGCTGGGCGTGGTGGCGCGTGCCTATAATCCCAGCTACTTGGGAGGCTGAGGCAGGAGAATTGCTTGAACCCGGGAGGCGGAGGTTGCAGTGAGCCGAGATCATGCCACTGCACTGGAAAGGCCCGCATTAGGGAGAAAGGCAAATCATTTCTCACCCAAACTCAGATAATTCTCTGATGCTTTAAATGTATGATCTAAAGGGTAGATTTAATTCAAAATTATATTATTTTTTTCTTCTCCCAGCTCATACCCTACAGAATCATGATATTTGAACCAGAAGTGTCATTAGGCAGTTTTGAATAGTTCTAAGGGAAGGTAGACCTCCATTCAGGACAAGTTTCTAGGAAGAAAAGGGTCAACCTCTTGGGGCAGGCTTTGGGAGCTAGCTGTGTGGTCACCAATGGCCTCATTCTGACGTCTTCGAAATTGTTCTGGGACCCTCCGCTGGGGTCGGGGCAGTCCCGGCTTTGGACCACCTTATACTCCCACGCCCAACCTCACACTCTAAGCTGTTTCACTAGATGTTGCATCATGGAGGGTGATGAAATCAGTGTCAGTGGATTTTACCCATGGATGCAACAAGCTGAAGGACCAGCCAGAGTCACTGACACTGTACACCTTCAACTACCCAGAACTCCTGGGCTTCCTACCCATGGGGTCCAAAGCTGGGACTGCCCCGACCCCAGTGGAGGGTCCCAGAACAATTTGGATGACATCAGAATGAGGCCATGGGGCTAGGTGCTGGAATGTCTAAGTTGGACTTCCAGCCCTTATTTACACTAGTATCCTGAAAAAAACATCACCCAACTCTTTTTTTTTTTTT